GATTTGACAATAATAACTACTTAGGACTGGTATACTTGGTTTAAATTTATTCACTTCTGATACAAGTAATTCAAATGAGTGGAGGCATATCCCACTAATCTCTGAAAAGTGTTAGAGCTTTAAAATATTGTCTTAATCATTATATTTTAAAAAAAGAATGTTTGTTACTGGAGTTATCAAAATCGTTCATCCAGAATTCAGCATTAGAGAATCAGTCTTCTTTGTGGTTCTGAAGAGGAGCACACATATAACCATCCTGGATATAAAGTCTCCAGTTGAATTTGTGACAAGTAGTAAATGAGGAAATGATGATTTATCTGATCTATCCTTGAGATCATTCGAGATGGGTCAGAAATCTCTAGATTTTAGAGTCTACCAAACAGCATTAATAGCGTAGAGTGTTACCATTCTGTTAAAATGAAGCTTAGCAATCATACGCATTGTTATTATTTAGACTTGCAACCTTTTCACAGATATTTACAAAAGGCCCATTTCAGTTTGCTGGGACAAGCAGTTCTAGAAGTTTTTAGGCTATCATCCTATTACAGTTTTTTGTGAAAGAGATTGGAGATTTAAGGCAATCATCAGGTTTGCAAGAAAGCAGTAACGTCAGAGACTTGAGCGCTAATGGTGCTTTGGCTGCTGCTTTGGAAAGATTTCAGGTTAAACAGAAGAACAGAGATACTTCTTTAATACAGCACCCCTCATCCAGCTGCTGTCCCTAACACTTCTTCAGCTTCCTAGCATATCCATTTTCAGGATATTCTTCAAATCATGACTGACCTGCAGTTTCAACAGAAGTGTATTTGAAGGCATTGTTTTGACACACTGATATTTTTAAAGATGAAGGCAGCAGTCTGTCTCCAGGAATACTGTTCATAAGAGGACAGGTGAGAGATAACCACTTCGAAGTCCAGTTCATCTTTTTTCCATTTCAAACTTACTGTTCCTATAATGTGTTTTTTTTTTCTTGCATCACAGTGACCCATTTAATTTGACAAAACATCTCTCCTGTTTTTTAGAATAAGGTAGCTTAGTCTTTGAGTACGATGTCTTTGAGTACGATGGCACTGCCTTTTGGTGAACATGTTGCGATGTAAAGGGAACATACATCCATGTGGATTTACCAAGCCAAAGGATGTATACATAAAAAAATAACTGGGATCAAACTGTACTCTCAACTGTCACAAATTTGTTCAAGGAATTAAACAAAATGTAGATATATTTTGGATGTACCTGCATTTTTGTAGGGTCAAGGAAGGAATAATGATTCAAAAAAGAAAATAATCTGAAAACAACCAACTTGGCTACATATTTCTGATATAATCCGAAAGCTCTTCTCTGGCTTACTACATACTCTTTTTGTTATGAAAACTGTTACAAAGAGTGAAGCAAAAAGATCCTCATCACACTTTATTGGTCTCAAGAGCTTCTGAGCCTACACATTCAGAACTGTTGCAAGCTTTGAATCTAGGTCTGCAGGATTTCAAAGAAAAATATTAGTCTGCTATTTTAGTGAATTCCTAGATCCTGATAACAAGAAGAAATTCTGCTGTCTGTGGAATGAAGTGGATGAAGCTTGGATACTGATGCCTTAAAGTGTATGAAGTATATTTGAATGGATGTTGTGAAAATTCCTAAGTTCATCTGTTATCAAAGCTGTATGAGGTCTTTAGGTAGATTTATGCAAACTTCCCTGTATTTGACCGTAAAACAGAAAATCTGAAGGCATCTGTTTTCAGAGAGTAATTACTCTCTCCTCATGTCTCTGATTCTACATTGATTATTCTTACGTAGTTCAAAGTGAGTTCAAGATTTTATAAAGCCCTTGAAGCCCAACGGTGTATCTCAGCTTTCAGATGTCTGCAGATATCGTGGCAACTTAAAAATTTTTTGTGCTTATTCACTGGAATATTCAATACTTATTCAATGCTTATTCATTATGTTCGATGATGACAGTAGTGGTACTGTGTACTCATCCTATCTTCTATGTTCAAACTGATATTTTCAAATACTTGGGCCAGCTTTTTTGTCCCAGATACAGTAATCTCATAGACACAGACCAGTAATGATCAAGTCTAGTTCTGAGGATCACTATTAAAATGCACTGAAAATATGAAGAAATCTGTGAGTAACCTGTAACTCTGTCTGCAGTCACATTGCCATTTAGGAGGAGAATACATTGAATGCGTCCCTTTCTTCTCAGATAAGATGTCAACAGGTTGTGTTTCTAATAACTTACTAAGACATCAGTACTTGTCAAGAGAGATGAAGAAGATGCATCAGAAGATCTCTATATTTAGAGAGAATATTTATGCCAAGTTGTGATGTGCTCATCTACTTACATGCTCTCAACTTACAATTTGATGTTTTGGACGATGAAGAGCAGCAGTATTTTGAACCTGCTCAGTTACAGAAGTTCAAGCAAGAAAATTGGTCCTACTTGAATTGTTTTGGTTTTTTAATCTTGGAGCTTTCAGCATGAGGGCTCTGACAGGTGAGTTTTGGTTGATCCAGCTACAGCCGTTTAAGGCACCACTACTCCTGGCCATCTGCCTTGCTCCTGTAGTAGAGGTAGCAGAGGGAAACATTTGCTTGGCTCTTAACTGACTAGTTCAGCCTGGTAGGTTAATGCAATCCATCCTCACTAGTGCCTTAGAGTGATGCATTGGACAATGAAATGGACTTCTGGAAATAGAATGTGTGTTCCTTTCTGCTACAGGTGTTAAACTCAGTTAAGGAATGGGACAAATAACTGATAACAGTAATGTATTAAAGGCTGCTGATAGATTCTCCTTCAGAACTCCACAGGACTTTTTCAGTGTGGCTGCTGAGTCAAAAATGGAAAAGCTGACTGACTTTTTCCTAGGAACACAAGTTTCTCAATTTGTGTTTCAAAATTTAGAAAGTTTTACCTAAGAAATAAGTTAATGATGTGTGTGTGTGGTTTTTTTAATGTATATGGGGGGAGGGAGGGGCGGGGGTTGTGGGGGTTGGGTTTGTTTTGCTTTATTTTAAAAAAAATCACATTTGAAACCTACTAGTCTTCTATTTCATGAACATTACTAAGACCGGCCATGAAGCTGTGTGAGGTCGAAGCCCTCTTATTCACAGAAGGGAAAAGATTTTTTTTGTCGCTGCATGAATGTTTCAGTAAATATACTAATTTTAATCCAAAGCATAGGATAGTTAATCTGTATAAGTTCTGATATGAATCCAACAGTAGTTGTAGTACAGAAAAAGCAAAAACCTCCGTGCTAAAAAGCTGCACCTTTTATTTGGCAAAATTATTTTGCTTCACATGTCTATCATAAAGTTGACAGATGTTCCTACGGATTTCTGTTGAATTTTGAAAAGGTCTGTATTTACAGCTGACAGTTTCTGCATGGAGTTTGTTGTATCTAACTTCACTGTTTTCCAGTCATTAAATGTTGTACCTTTTTTTTTGAGTTTTATGAAGCTAAGGATGTACAGATAGATTTGAAAATGTAAATGATGAGGTAAAAAGCCTGTTGACATCACTGGAATTGACCATGTTACTACTTTTTATTATGTTCTAATGTTAATTTTGGAGGTGATCCTTTAAAGTTTTAGTTTTCCTAAATAAGAATCTTCTACAAATAGAGAAGAACTTAGAAGTCATGTATTATAATTCAGGTTTACTATTTGAGAGAGGCTTGTATTTTTTTACCTTGGAGTTTATTTCCTTATTTCTTGATTGCATCCTGCTTACCGTTCATTCTTCTGCTCCCAAAAAGAGAGCTGGCTCATTGCATCTGGTGATAAGGCACTACAAATGTATCACAAAATAAGTTCTTTTTCGTATATTGCATTTGTGTTCTAGATATTTTGACAATTGATCTATGACAGAATTTCCAACCTATGTTTAGTCATTCCTTAGACTTAAAGTCATATTCCCTGATTACAGAGAAAGTAATTGTGGGGATTGTTTTGACAAATTACACAATGATAGTTAATAAAAACTATAGTGCAGTTAGGGCTTTTGGTTTTCATGGCAGGCATTAATTCTAGAGTACTGCGTTGGTAATATAAATAGGTTGTAGTTTAGATGACTAGAATATACTCTTGGATACTTCCATGTGCTTCTCATTTCTATGAATTCTAACAAATTATAGAATTTGTGGTTGCCTGGCTATTTTTCTGTATTCTACTCTTAATGATTTTCTAATATAAACTGAAAGGCTTATTGCAGAGTCAAGCTCTTAACACTACATAAAATTATCACTGAACTTTTTCCTTCGTCCATGAAAAGCATTGATTGCAAAGGGAAAATACTACAGCTTTGAAGTGTGTAGTGCCCCCTCCCTCCTGCCCAATATGCGTGTGTTATGGCATAGACTCCCATTCTTGGCATACTGCTTGCTTCAAAGAGAAGCATGGGGTGCTGGAGTTATTTTAGTCATTTTTGTTCATTATTTGTGTGCTCCCTTGCTAAAATGTATGAAGTCCAACTGATGCACTGCACCAGGTAGGAAGAACCTCTGTCTTAATCATTGCAGATCCTTGCTTAGTTCATGTATAATGAAGCAAGCTGAATCTGCAGAAGAGAATCTTTTTTTAGTAGCATTCCTCCAAAAGTAATTGTGAAGGTGCACCTTAACTTTGACTTTGCGGACTTTTGCCTCAAGTGTAGTTGGTTAGTTTAGCTTTTTTAAATATTTTTGTGTGTTTATTGCAGCTACTTTATTAGGTGATTCTCTTGGGAGTTACCCAGGAACTTTGATTTCATATATTTTGAGGGTAGGCTTTTTTAATGATTAATCGACATCTATGGTAGGCTGACAATCAACTATAGTCTGAATACTATAAAAAGCATCAGCTGGCTAAGTTCTGTTCTTTTAAGTTCAATGGATTTTGTTATGTGTGTGCAAAACTGCTGAGGAGGATTAATTGGTGGGAGTGGAGGGGAATGGACATTCTTGCTTGAATATTTACCAGTCTATACACATAATTTGTGATTTTTCTCTTTTAACTTGCAGATAAGCCACTGAAGAAGCGAAAACAAGAAAACAAACCACAGGAGGCCGGAGGTGCTACTGGAGGAAATAGAGCAGCTTCTCAGGAGACAGGTTCTGCAGGAAACGGGGCAAGGCCAGCGTTGATGGTTAGTATTGATCTGCAGCATAGCGGACTCTCAGGCAACAGTACCTCAGGATTTGGACACCATCAGAAAACCCGAAGACATTAAGCAGTATAATGATGGATTTGTCTATGTTCCCCAAGAAGACACTGTTGGAGTTCTTAAATTTAAACCTGAAAACCATCCTGAGATTTTTAGGAAAAAGTCAGACTTTGAGGGTCCAAAGACAGATATCCAGCAAAATGAAAACAGACAAATGGAATTTCAGCAAAATGAGAGCAGACGGTTGGAAAGTAAACACAGTGAGAACAAACAGTTAGAAGCTAAACATGAAAGCAGACAAATGGATGTTAAACAAATTGAGAACAGACAGACAGAGTCAAAACAAAATGAGACCAGGCAAATGGAGATGAGACAAAACGAGGGAAAACAAAATAATGGCAAACAAGAAGTAAGACAGAGGCCTGAAACACCGAAACAGAAGAGTGAAGGCAGGCCTGAAACACCAAAACAGAAGAGTGAAGGCAGACCTGAAACACCAAAACAGAAGAATGAAGGCAGGCCTGAAACACCAAAACATAGACATGATAATAGGAGGGATTCCACTAAACCATTGTCAGAAAAGAAAATTGAAATATCTAGGCATAAACTAGATGTGAAATCTGATCCTTCAAGGGTAAAAACTGAAAGTAGATCTGATCCAACAAAACAAAGGCCTGACCTGCGTTCAGTTTCTGATACACCAAGGCGTGACCATGATAGCCTTAAACAAAGATCTGAGGACAGGGGGGAATCAGAGAGATACAGAGGAGATCCATCCAAGATTAGAAGGCCTGAATATTTGAGATCCTCAAACAAAAGTGAACATGATTCTAAGCATGGTATTAAATCTGATGGTTCAAAACCTGAGAAAATTGAAAGGAAACATAGGCATGAGTCTGGTGAATCAAGGGAAAGATTTTCTTCTGGGGATCAGAAATTAAGACCTGACAGCCCTCGTATTAAACAGGAAGGTAAAGGAGATTCTAGTAAATCAAGACTTGATAAACCTAGTTTTAAATCACCTAGCAGCAAGGATGAACGAAGGACAGATGGTAATAAGAGTAAAGTAGACAGTATTAAAGCACATACTGACAATAAAGCAGAGTTTCCCAGTTATTTGTTGGGAGCAAGATCTGGCGCCTTGAAACATTTTGTCATTCCAAAAATCAAGCGTGATAAAGATGGCAATGTTACTCAGGAGTCAAGGAAAACTGAGTTTAGAGGTGAACAGAAGGATAAAGTAGAGAAGATTGGTCTAGTTGAAGATCTAAATAAAGGAGCTAAGCCTGTAGTTGTTCTTCAAAAGCTTTCTTTGGATGATGTACAGAAATTTATTAAGGATAGAGAAGATAAGTCAAGGGGCTCTTGTTTTAAACCTAACAAGAACAAGTCATCCAAATCTAATAAAGGTAAGATTTTTTTCATATTAATTGCATTATATCTTTTACACTCCTATTCTTTTAGATTTACTTTCTGTGGTTAGAAATTAAATGCAAACTTTTGATGGTTAGTTTGTATGCTTCCTCATAGGGTGATTTTGGGGAACAAAGTGAAACTTTTCTATCGATTTGTTGTTATAGAAAATCTTGCTACAATGTACCTGAAATTATTTGTTTACTCCAGTGCAAGTACCCAGTGCAATTACCTAATGTGAAAACATTTAAATAATCTTAAACTGTACTTCACCTACATTAGTTTCACCTGGTAGTTTACCCAGTGAAACTTCACTGCTGTCTGTATGATTTAAACTGATTTAGGTGTGTCCGTGTCAGGGACTGGTACTGTAACTAAATCAGTGTAGCTGGAGTGGTGGCAATACTATGTATATAAGCTCTAAGATTCTTTTACACTTCGAGTCTGAACTGAAATGTGATTTTAAAAAGCATGTTTTGACATGATGCGGTTAGATTGTAGTTGCAAAGTCCCATCTGCCTCTTTTACAGTATCAGTACAACTCTATTGGGGAGCCTCCACACTTGATGCTGTGTGACAAAAGGTTGCAGAAAAGGTTCTGTCTTTAGGGGAGTTCAGGCTTCATTGTCTCTAGGTCCACTGTATGCAGAAAGAGCAAAGGAACTGATAAACAACTGGCTGGCATTTTCAAATTGGTAATAAGGAAAGGAAATAATTCAGAGTATTTTGCAATTTTGATATTTGATCAAATTGATTGCCTCTTTGCAGATTTAACACTTTTTTTTGCTTTTCTTTGCTTTTTTTTTTTTGCTCTTCTTTGTCGTGCTCTAATTTTGACTTCTTTGGTTTCAGACTAAAGTAGATCATTTCACATTGGGAAATCAAGGTTACTAACTGGTTAGGGTTCCTTTTTTTAATGTTAAGCATTGAAAGCATTTAAATTTCTTACATAGTTATGTTTATGGAGTTATCATGTCTCAAAATAGAAAAATCAGGTGGTCGAACAGAGGATTTCAGCTGTATACAGGATGATTTTATGAATGCAGTTCCAGGTATATCGTGAATTCAAGATAAAGATGTTTTCTTATGTAGTTAATCTGATCAGAAATTACATAGAAATCATCTTTGTGAATGTATAAACTATGTGCATGTGTACAGAGGTTATGCCTGTATAATGAATTCATGGTGCTACATCTGTATCTTCTAACATGTTTGCATTAACTTTTGAAGATTTAAATTTGTAAAATATCAGGCTTCTTGTCAAGTATTTTCTTTTTATCCTGGAAATGTGCGTATTTCTCCTGTCCCTTTTTGAAGTTCAGAACAGGCAAAATTTCCATGCCTAGTAATAGGTATCTAGAGTTAAACACAGAATGATGACATCTTTGTCGTCAGTTCAGTCTAAAGATTTCAGATAAAACCTTTATGTTCTTGATAGGGAATACTTAAAACTTTCTGAGGGAATATAGCTCTAGTCTCAGAAGGATATATTTTGAATTCACAGGTTCTGTGAATTTTCTGTGTGCAGAAAATCAATAACTTGAGAGCCCTCAGAGCTGTATACAGTGCATATATGCTTTCTAAAATGCTTCTGATGTATTGTTTTGGTAGTCTGCATTTTATGTGGTTATTTATATATAATGTTTTAATGTGTCATGGTTTTAATGACTCTGATCAGCATGCCTTCAGTAGCTGTGTCACATATGAGAAATGCATTAATGTCGAGTTTCTAACTTCTATGCAATGTTTTTGTGTATTTTTTTGTTTTCTGAAGTCATGTATTTCTTCCATAGTCTAAAATACCTTGGGACATATTTTCCAGGGAAAGAAAATGTTCGGATTTGATATCATTCTTTTTGCTGTTGTGTACAGAATAAGGTTCTTAAAATGATACTAGAAGTAGGTTCCATGGAAACAATAATGTTCTAACTCAAGTTTTAGCATTCAGACGGGCAGATATCAGAGAGTCTGCACTTCAGATTTTTTATGTGTATTTTTCGTTTTACTTTCTCCCCCCTCTCTTCCTCATCCACCTCAACTTTCTGGTAACTTACTTCTAGGATACGTTATGCTAAATAACTAGGTGAACTCTGATCTTTGGAAAGGTTCATAATTTATAAAGGTATCTCTTCCTAAGGTAAAGTCCGTTTGTCAACAACTGACTGATATAGAAAATATTCATGCTGTTGCCAATGCCCTCACTTCATTTGAGAGAAATAGTGTTCACTGTTTTACTCTGTGCCATCTTTAGTTACAAACATTCTAATACACTAGGAAGTGTTTACTTTCATAAACATTCTTCATTTAGTTCATCCTGTATTTCTTAATAGATTGTAGCAAATCTTGTATAGTGTTGCCTTTTAGCATCATTATTCCACTTCTGACATCCCTCTTATTCCATGTAGCATAGTATGTTTTGGCTTTATCCTTCCTTATTTTAGTTCCTTGTATTTCTTGTGCTTTGTTTTTGCTTTCTCATCCATTCGTGCCCCAAGAAACTTTCTTCTCTAGGCTTTGTCACATACTACCATCATCGCTGTGACTTATCTGAAATCCACTTTAAAACAGAACTTCAGCCAGTTCAAGGCACTATTTAGATAGTTGTTCTATCTTAACGGACTAGTCCCCAATCATTAGAAAACTCAGTAAAATTGACTTGTTTTAAGATAAAAGTAATGCCTTGCAAACATAAAGTCTATGAAACTTTTTACATTATTTGAGTAAATTTTAAATTTGAAAATCATACCATGATTTTGCCTTGGATAAAGCTTTGCACTGTACTGCAAAAAGACTAACATTTTAATCAAACTTTATACACAGTTTTGAGATGTTATTTTGTGAATGGTAGCAGTATCCATAGTACATGACTGTTAATATTGAATGATACTAACAGTCCCTTATAGCATTTACAAGGAAGAAACAGCTTTATTCCTCACTTTCCTGATCTTTGAGCATTTTTCTGCAAGTTTCACTGTAGATCAGAGGAAAGCTACAGAAATTTTTTTTTCATGGTGCTTTGGTTAAGAGGTTTTATGTTGAAATTTTGTGGCCTGTTTTGTCAGATCAAAATGAACTGTAACACTTTTTTCTTTGTTTTTAACATCTGAGAATGCCTTTTATCCTGTTTTTAATACAAAGATATGTTGTTGGGGAATCCATTAAACTTTTCCCTTTGACTTTGTGCCTGCATTGAGGAGGTCATGCCTGATATCCTTTCTTTTCAGAGCTTCAGCGAATACCTTCTCTGCTGCTTCTTAGAGCTATACTGATCAGCTGTGTTGGGATGGGATAGTTGCTGCATTCTGAACAAGACAAATTTTTTTGAAGTACAGAACAGATATGAGTAATAGGAGAAACTGTAACTCTCTGTAAGGAGATATCTGAGTTGGTTTACAATTTGTTTGAAGGGCTGCCTTTCATATGTAATGGAAGTTTTACTTCTAGGACAAATGAGTGTGTTTGTTTTTAAGACATTCAGAAACACCTTTTGGGCTCTTCAGTCAAAGAGTTTGTTGTTAAAAAAATATCAAAAATATGATCCAAATGCTACTCCTTCATTGTGTAGGTTGTTACAGGATTTCATTATTTGTACAACACAGAATGGTACAAAAGGTTGTGTTGCTCACTACAAGTCTTCCTAAATATATTGCATTCTCTGCTCCTGTGATCTGAAATATGAGTGAAGATTTACCATTCTTTAAAAGTGCTTTTCTTACATATTCTTACAGGATCGACTGAGAATTTACTCTTTAGTCATCTTCATGTCAGAGAGTTGAAACAATGCTTCTAGATTTTTCTGTATTCTGTGCTTACGTTGTTTGTCGTATTTGGGGTTTTGTTTGTTTTTAATTCCAGATGAATTTTTCAGAGCCTGTACTAACTATACTTCGGCATTTGTGTAACATGATGATCACTTTTTGAGTTCTAACACCAGTGAAAATAAGCAGAGTACTCAGTTAGGTGTTCGTCATCTAGGTAACAGTGACAAGAACGGGAGTATTCCAGGATGAAATGTGTTATTCAGATTGTGTTGACTCAGTGAGCCAGCCTGTGATACATCTCACAAACTTCTGGTTAGCACAGCGGAGCTACTCATGAGTATTTTCTAGTTCGGTAGTACACTTGAAAACTGTGGACAAAAGAGAGTATCAAGTTTAAAAATCTGTTTAAATCCTTCATGCATAGAACTTCATAAAGAAAAAATTGGCAAAACTTGGAGAAAAATAGCTTATGGATATTAGCACATCAAACAAGTTTTAGAGTTCGCTCAAATTTATTTCCAAAATGATGAAACAGACATCACTGTTGTACTCACTGAAATTGGTGGGGCAGGCAGCTGTGCTACAGGGACAGAACTGGAGTAAAAACACCTTTGCTTTGGAAATGAAACAGATGAAACTCAGCTTGTTTACTACAAATTGTGCTTTCTACAAATCCGAAATTTGAAATCTGAAATTTGAAATCGCTGTCTTGGGAGTTCCTAATATCAACTGTATTTGCATGTGGGAAGGCCAGAGTAATAACCCACTAATCATCCTGCATATGCATGCACTGCCAAGTGGATCAAGCATGTCATAGCTTTCTCTATGGAAAATAATGCCACATTTCAGGGGAAGAAAAGATATAATATTTACTTCATGGTTTACAACAAGAAGTTTATAATAATTCTTCTCATTTGAAGTCTTAAAAGCTTCTCTTAAACTACATTTAGCTGGAATTTTAGGGAAAAAACATGGTTTTCATAAGAATTCTGCAGTCTTCCTGGTTTTCATCTTTTTTGAGGTATTAGTGACTACCTCTTTTTCAACTTAACTAGACTAGGAGAAGAGCTCGCTGTCCCTCACAGCATTAGAAGTATTTAAAGATATGTTTGGTTTGCAGATGATCCATTTTTTTATACTCTCTCCATGTAACCCTGATTGTTTTTTTCTCCTTTCTGGATTAAACACGTTCACAGTTTGAAAAATGTTCCAGACATTGTTTAGTTAAAAGCCAA